GCAGGAGAGGACAATGGACGTAGACCAAGCTCAGATCTGGGAGATTATCCAGGATCCTTCTTATGGTACACAATGACCTCTGGTAAGCGTGTGGGAAGGAAAGGGAAGGGGGAGAGAGAACAAAACAATCACTAGAGACTGAATATCAGAAAGCTGAAGTGATGATAGTTCACTGTAAGAAGCAGTCAGACCACCTTTTAAGTAGACAATAAAATATATCAGTTAAACATCATTTTGTGAAGCCCATTTGCATCACAAAGGCTAAGAAACTTGTAGGCTTTATACAGTGCTCAAAACTGTGCAGCAGCAAAGAGCCATATGGGAACACTTGAAAGGCTGCTGCAGAGGCTGTAGATGTGTTCAGGAGACTGAAGCTATGAAATTTATTATATTCCATATGTGAATTCACAGCCTATCCAACGCATTTACACTTCCCACACATACACAAGTTTATTCAGTCAAATCTATATTCTCTGGTGGCTTTTCACAGTTAACTTTTCAGAGTGTAGATGCACTGCACACTCTGCACTCATTCACCCCTCCTTGCCTCTGTCAAAATACGTTCTGAAACGGGATTGATGGGAGCGGGGAGAAACCTTTGTTTCAACAAAAAGGGTCCAAAATGTAAGAAAGAAACCTTGTTTTACCGAGTCCAGGGCATCGCCTTTGTCCTGACAGACAGCAAGGAGGTAAAGTGCAGCTCTGAGTATGTATGGAGGGGGACAGTCCCCATGGTCCTGTGCCAATAGGAGGAAATCTCTTACAGCTAAAAATAGCTCTGCTTCTGGGACAAACCTGGGTTCAAGAAGATTGGAGATAACAACATTAGAGATGCCTTTCCCACTAATACACGGCCACAAAACCACCTGCCTTGTACACTCTTGGCTCACCTGTCCCCAAGGGTGTATGCAAAGTATAAGAGTAGTATGAAGCAGTGTTGGTGGCTGCAAAGAGACTGGTCCAGAGTGAAGGGTTCAGGGGTTTCAGCCAGGAGGAGAAGGCTTTCAGCAACAGTGTAGTTTAATTGAGGCAGACCCTTCTGCAGGAGCTCAGACAACTCTTGCTCTAGAAATACAACTAATATGAGCAGGCAGGCAGTGATGAGAAATGACTATGGCAGTGCAGAGTGGAATAGAGGAACAGAAGCATCTGCCTGCCATAACTCAAGCACATTAAATTAGGGAAGCTCCTGATGTGAGAAATATCAAGCCAACCTACTACCCCATGGTCTGCACACAGCAAGCACAACTCTATCATAGAGATGCAAGACCTTAGTTAATGGTGCTGCCTTTGAGGATGAAAAGACATTTCTCTTTGAGGTTCCCAGCTCTTTGCTGATGCTGTTTGCATGGTGACCAACCACTGCCAGTGGGAAAGTGGCTTTTTGCAATGTGGAAACTTTAATCACTTTTATTTGGGACTTACCTATTACGGAAAGTTACATTATAGACTGGAAAACTTTATAAAATTTTGTATGTGAAAAAACTACCTTAATCTGAAAAAATGGGTGACTTTGTGGCAAGTAATATTGTTTCAATTAAGCCATGCACAGTGGTACTAATAAATGTCACCATGTAAACAAAAAACAGGCAGATGAAACACGTTCTTTCAGGTAGGGTTCCAAACACTTCAAAAGGCATTCTCTGAGTGTTATCTCTTTGCTGGACCAGCTTATAAAAAAGCTGGGGAAAAAAAAATAAATCTCTAAAGAGAGCTTATGTGTGTCCTCCCTTCCCTCCTTCTTTGTCTTTTTATTTAATTATTTTATATGCACCTACTGCCTAGAGGGTGGCATGGGCCCCAAACTAAATGAAGCAATTTGTCACTTTCCCCGAACTTGCCCTCCTGAGGAGAAGTTCTCTCGTTCTCTGTGGCAGAGTAAAGGCTCAGGCACAAGCTGCAGAGGAAGCTGGAACAGGCCTGATTCAAATCAGGATTACTGTGAAGAAGAGCAGAAAGATACAATGATGAAGGCTAGAACCATCCTCTTCATACTTCTAGTATCACACTGTGTCTGCCAGAACTTCAATTTACTGAATGGTCACATACAAGTACCTGCCCTATCACAACATGACTCCACAAGCCAACCTGGGCTTCCAGTAAAATGAGGAGTTCCCAAAGCACAGTCAGTTCATAGAAGTGGGGGTGTGAGCAGTGATGAGAGTGAAAGGTTCACATACCTTGGGACAATATGAATACAGTGGGACACTCCCACAATCATACTTGGTACACACAGGGAGTCCTTTAAGGGCAGGACCTCTTACACTGCAAAGAATGGGAGGGATTTGACAGTGGGTCCTGATCCCTGATTCCACTGGCAAACACCAGTAAGGAGATTTTGTAGCAATGGCGTTTCCAGGGATGAACAAAGAATGCCAACACATTAAGTAAAAAGGTAAGAACACCTACTTTTCCAGGTATTTCTCTCTCCAGTAATTTCCTTGCAGAACAGGACATAACCAAGTATCTTTGTGCTGTAAGACACCATCCTCGGTGCCCCACATTACTGTATGCAGAGGCCTGGATCACCCTTTCCCTCACACCATTTGCAGCACACACATCCCCATTCCAAGTTCCATGGACTAGGGGTGCTTGTGTATTTTGTTTATTCTTTTAATGAGATGCAGTCACAGGACAGAGGAGGCAAAACATCTCTGCAGGCCCACAGAGAGTCTCCCTATGTGCCCCTCAACCTAGAAATCACAGCCTCTGCTATTGAAGATCTTTTGCAATGTCTGCCATTGAAGTCTTACTCCTCCCTACCTTTTCTCATAGGGTATCACACCACGAGGAACAAACATAGTGATAATATGTGCCTAGGAAGCCAGAGCTCAGATGGAACTGATGCTGCTGCTGCTTCTTTTCAAAACACAGATTTTGGCTACTCTACAGTAGTGCTTTCTCTCTACCTGTGCAGCTCACAATGGGACACAGAACTCTATTGTGCAAATCCATACCTGTCCCCTACCCAACCTCCTCCCTTCTCCCACATCCAGATTTTCCACTTAGATTTTGCAATGAGATACAACCACTCATGAGTTTTTCAGCCACCCATCCTGTCTAATCAGGTACATTAGACAAGGCATGATCTGCTTTCCTATCTGGAAATTGTTGACGTCCTCCCAATACACACATCACAATACCTTTCTACAGAGCAAAATCTGGCTTTCAGCTCCAGTGTCAGTCGGATGAAGGAGGAGGATGCTACATGGAAAGCAAGGCAAAAATGTTGAAAGAGCACAGAACAAGTATGATAAAAGAGCAGGCAGGTCCCATAGCCATCCCCATACATCTCCACACAAACTTGGTGAACAGGGCAGATCATCACAGCAAGAATACATTTGTCTGGCTTTCTCTCCCAAAGCAAACTACTGAGTTTGGTTTGGAGGGTGGTATCTGAGATTAATTTGTTTTCTCAGGAGGAGAAGGAAAGATTTACCAGCTTCACAAGTTTAGAATAGAGGAATTATCTACATTGCCTCACTGATGTGCAAAGGGTGAGGAATACGCAAAGTAAATAGGATTTCTACGTAGCAAAGTCCCACCAACAATTCCAGCACAATCCCTGTCTACAGGAACAGCCAATTCTGAATATTCTGGAGGAAAGGGTAAAGCCAACACACTGACTTATAAAAAATAAAATCTGTCCCATCATCATTGCTAGACCAAATAACTTTTTCATCCCGCTGAACATGACTGTGCACTCTATTCTTACTCATATAAACATGTAATATTATCCTCCACATAAAGTCTTGTTAAGCTCATGGCCTCAGTAATTTGCAGTAGCAGCAAGTTCAATCAGTTAAGTTGAGAGCACAGAGAACATGAGTCCCCGCTGCCCCCATACCCAGCTTTTTGGAGAACTTGTTCTGCATGTTTGGCACCACTGTAAAGAGGGTATTGAGTGTTGAGATGAAAACCTCCATCACTGATGGGCTGACAGCCCTTTCCAGGTAGTTCTGTGGAAAGACAGAAAGATCAGTTGCGTGAGATGCAACTCACACCCAAAGTAGCAGCTTCCTTCTGGCCAAAAAGTTAGATTTATAAATCCAAACAAATGGAGTAACAGTTGTACCCAAAATGCCTGGCAGCAAGCACACAGGCTTACAGAGCATGCTGAAAACCACTAACACTCCCCTCTGCCAGCGTTATGACCTGAGCACTAACTCTGCAAGACATTACACCAAACAAGAAACTTCTTCCTGATTCCAGCTGGCAACCAGTTAGGCCTTAACGCACAGCGACTGACATGACTGCCCATATTGCCCTGGAAGTAACTGCTCTTACAGGTCAGATGGCCAGTTCTCCAGCACAGCACACAACATAGGACATATGCTGAAGTGCAGCTGACTTCAGTTAACACCTGTGCTTCAGCTTCTTGAGTAGTGGCAAACACAGGCATCTAAGGTCTCTCCAGAGTTCAACCCTCAACTGCTTAGAACAGAATGACTCAACTCACTCTTGCAGAAGGCCACTGGATAATTTTCTCACAGTCCATTAATTTTCCCCCAAGTTCACTGAGCAAGAAACAGCACATTGGCTGCAGCTTTGCCAAACTAGACCTGCAATGCACCCTTCCTTCAGGGAGAAGAAACAGCAATGCCACTGCAGCTCCCTACCAAGAGACTGGTTAAGAAAATGCAAATCGAAACATCTCCAAGCTCCCAACAACAGTAAGAATCTGTACACCTGAACCCACAGCCAAGCACAAGCAAAACTTACTCAATATTTGGAACCACAACCAGAGTCCCACTGTTTTGACCGTTCTGCTCCAAGCATCTTAGTGGCAGATCCATAGGGAACACTAACTCTCCACAGCTACTTTTTAAACCATGTCCCAGGCCTTACAGAGGCATAATGCTTAGTACTGCCCTTGCTGTGTAGACTGGGCAGCCTCATCAATACCTCCTGGAAAAAAGTGTGAAAATGAAATTGCAGGCACAAAATACCACTGCTTTCTGGGACACAGGCAAGCTTTGAAAAAGTGGCAGAAGAGAAAAGAACAGTTCAGGTACTCTTCACTTTCTGCAACATCCAGAGCTGACATGGATTTAAACAGCATGGCCGGTAGGCTATGCAGATTGCACAGTCTGCAGAAAGACACTGTCATCTACATGGAAGATTTATTAATTTCTCCACTGTCTGAGACTGCACACTCCCCCTTTGCATGAACTGTATTATGCCACATTTGGCTCTGTGGCAAATGCCACAGCTGTTCTTGGTTTACTCTACCTGCTCTCTTCCCAAAAAAAAAGCAATTTCTACAACCCACGCTTGGTGCTTGAAAACACCTTTTCAGGTACCCAAGGAATACACCAAAATAAACCCTACCACGACCATGGGGATGCAGAGATTGTCACAAATCCTCAACAGGAACTCAGAGAAGTTGCTCAGTGTGTCCCTTCTCTCAGAGTTGGGGGCAGTGAAAGCATTCTCCTGGGCCATGGGGTCGCTCTGGAATTCCACTGCTAACCTACAAATACAGCAGATACCAGAGGAGGGAGGAATCCTCCTCAGTTTGTAAAGGAAGTCAGGAGATAGCACATTTCCATCACATCTTTCACCATTAAGGATCCCACAAACACTTGATGGGTTAGAAACACAGCAATCTGGCAATCACACACAGTTACCTCTTGAGTGAGGCTAGTAAATGTCAGCAATGTTGCACAACAGTCCAAGCTGGGAAAGAAAGACTTTGCTTCTGTGAAGAAAGCATCATCTGCTGTGGGAAGCCCTAGTGTGGTAAGACTAAAGATTCTCAGAGAGTGCTTGTTGCACAACACAGCAAACCTCATGAAAATCAGCCAGGGGACCATTCAGCTGATACGAAAACCATGACTGAACCCGAGTGCCCTCTAACACCATCCCAAGACACTGGATGAGCGTAGACAGGGACACTTGCTTCTCACTGCATTATCTCAGCCAAGCCAAATGCAAGTGACCCATGGCAAAATGAGTAAGTTGGCCAGAATTTCTTAACAACAGATCTGGATTCATACACAAACTCATCTACCGCTGCCTGCTGTGCAGCTAAGGATGACAGGTAGCTCTCATCCAGCAAGAAGGAGAAGTTGGTGCCTATAAACCCACTTGCAGTAACAGGTCACAGACATGAGCAAATCCAAGGCCAGGATCTGGAGGAGATAGACATTTGTGAGACCACATATCCCAGGACACAGGAATATGGTTTCACCCATACCTTCCAACTGTTCTTGCACCGTCAGTAGTTTTGGCTAATTTTAAACCAGTTCGTCAAAGACATGAAATCAACTGATAGGTCCCAGGCAAATTTCTTGGGAGACACATACAGGTGTCACAAATTTTTCCCTATCACTACATATCCTTCCCTCTGCTGTTTCAGTGCCATGCATTGAACTCACCTGTGATGTTTCAGTAGTGGGGTAGGGTAGAGGAACTTGGTTACCAGGACAAAAAGATGGACAGACCCACACACACAGCCCCCACCCACCCATCCACCCACCTGCCTGTCCCCCTGACTCATCCTCACCTGCAAGCATTTCTGAAACTTTCCAAGGTGTTGAACAAGAACTGGCCCTGTCTGTGAGAAACTCTGCTGAGATTTCTGTTTGCTGGGTGACTCTGAGACACTGCAAATAGGTCACCCTGTCAAAGGAGATAAGTCTTCAAAATCTCATGTTCACTATTGGAAAAACAGAGCTTTCTTTTCTGATACCAGCAGGAGGAGGAGCAACAGATTTAATTTAATTCATTTTGTTCACATAACTTTTTATACTATTGTGCTTTTCCCAGGGAGGGCAGAGGTAGGGGGCTTTTGTGCTCTTCCTAGGGAGGACAGAGTTACAGGGTTCTGCACTGTCCTTTCATTACAGTCTGTATTGCCATGGTTTGGTGTAATATGAGTTAAACCTTGACACTGAATTGCAGCTCAGCTAATGGAGCTTCAAAGCCTTCTGGGAAAACTTGGTATATTTTCATAATTTTATTGCTTCGAATTACTCTTCAGATGATGCTGAACAGCTCCTCTCCTTCCTAAGCACGGAAACCTTTTAAGTTCTCTACTTTGGCTCAGATTTATAAGCGACTATCCATGTACCCGCTCTTGTTCCCACACAGCATCCTACCGCATTCAGCCAGAAGCCAACTGCAGCATCAGAGTTAATAATTTGCCCAAACTAGGAACCACTTGGAACTCAAAATCTGCCTATAAGCCTTAAACTGTTGTGGTGGTCTTCTCCAAATACTACCAGAGGAGCGCACATCGGTGCTTGGCAGTTCATAACTACTCCTCCTCCATTTGATGCTGAGATGCCTTAGTACAGGTACAGTCATTTCCCCTTTAAAGACAGTCTGGATGTCCTTACTATCTGCATAAATTCCTTCCCATGAAGCTCCTTATTCTGAATGGGACACCACTCTCTGTGTGTGTGCAGACTGACCAACATCTGGCAGAGAAGACAAATATCTGGTACCACAGAACTTCAGCCTAAAAGTCGTTAGTTCATCAGGCATTTGGAGCTCTGCTACTTCAGCAAGGCATTCTTGCCACTACAGATGTGCATTCTAAACCAATGTGGCTCTAAGCCTAGAGCAAGAAGGCTCAGCCCTTGTCTCTTCACTGGGCATCTGTAATGGGGGCTCTCCTCAGAAGTGCACAGGTCCCAGCAGTACACCACACTGACTACAGAACCAGGAAGAGATCTGCAGTTCAAGGAGTGGCTAACAGCTCCCTTGCTGAGGCAGCATAGTGCATATATGATGACTCTCTTGGTCTGAAGGCAGAGCATGAGATGTTAATTTGTCAAAAAAATAGATGAACCAACACAGCCTACAAGGTGAGGGCATGAAGAAGGGGAAGTTTAAATGTCTTTGGAGTACTGGATGCATAAAGGCAGCAGTGTGCTCATGTGGTGCCCCACAAATCTTCACTGATTTAGAAAAACAACATTCACCAGCATCCATCCTCAGCTGCTTCAAAGACAAAGGTCAGTACCATCTTAAGGCATGAGGATCAAAAGAAATACCAGAGAACCCAACAGCTACAGGGTAAAGAGATGGAACATACATACTACATCCACATAGTGTACTAGGAGGATCATCCCTGTCCAAGCAACAACAACTTCTGACTTACTGCATGTCTCTTGCTACTCTGTAGTGGGAAAAAGTCAGCACATCGCTTCAGCACTGCCTCCAGCAGCTTCTGGAGCAATTCATATGGGACTGGAGGGCAGCTCAGATGGTCCTTCCTGAACAAGTGGAGAGAAAGACAGCATGCACATTCCCCGCTGGGGACATTCCACCTGGGAAGGCAACACCAGCAGAAACAACTGCTCCTCTGACATGCCACTGCCACTTCTCCCCAGCACAGCAGGCTAAGGTCACAATATCTGAACAGTGCCTTCATCCACGTGTGTGCCCAGGCACACCCCTCCCTGCATTCACTGCCTGCTCCCACTGCAGTCAGGAAGCATATGACTCTGCAGAGCCTTATGCTTGCTCTTATCCATCTGGATGGGGCACAGAGTGACAAAGCAGCCCCAGTACAACCCTGCCTGCAGCAGTAGGTCCTTGCTGCAGTGACTTGCTGCCTACTACAGCTTCATTGCCCTGGCAGCCTTTTGAGGTGGGTGGGAAGCTAGCTCTGCTGTACCCACGTCTGCCTCAGCCTGAAGTCCCACTGCAGAGCACACTCACCCACACAGCCACAGGGGAGCTGCAGAGACCAACACAGTCTCAGATCTATCTATCTGAAGAAAAGCCTGCACATACTTTCTGCCTACCTCAGGAGAGCTGCCACAGCTCCCACAGCCTCCACTACCACCTCCAACACTGGGCAGTTCACTGTCTCCATCAAAACATCAATGGCTTCTCTACATACACCTATGTTTGTGAATAATTGTATTTCCACTGGTTGCCTGCAAAGAGGAAACAGAATAAGCAAGGACAATATTGTCAGTTAAGTAACAGTAGAGCCCTCTTCTCACTTCACCAAATGGCCTGCTGAGCCACAGGGTTCCAGCCATGCTTTTCAGTATTCACAGCCAGCTGCTTTCCAGGAGATAGTTTCAAACTCGAGCAAGTGAAGGGGTTGCTACAAAGAGTGAATTTCAACAGGTCTGGAGCCCTACTATGATGAAAAATCCCACAGCCTGGATAACTGTGTGACCAGATAAGTGAACACCGACATGAAAAGCACGCGAAAACCAGGCTTTGCAAAATACCCTGATCTATCTGCCTAGGACTTTACACCGAGGCCATCTGCTCTGGCATTTGCAGGTTCATCTGGCAATTCATATTTTTGAGTAACCAAGCAAACACCACCACTCTAGAAAAAGGACAATGACAAAAGAATAGCTTCTCTCAGTCCTATAGCATTTCAAATGCCAGATGTTGCCAGAAGGACAGGGACCTCCATAATCTTGAAAGTAATCAGGAGAATAAACACAATCCAACTGTTCCGACAATTGCTCAATAGTGAACATTTTTAGTCATCTGATCACCTTGTGGCCCAACTGCCTTTGAGGATTCAGCACAAAAGCATGGAAGGAAGATGAGCCATTAATCCCATTATTGGACAGAGTTGTGTAAAAGGCAGAATGTACTCATTTGGCTCCTGGCAAATCAGGTACAGTTGGGAAGGTGAGGGGAAGACAGGCAGCTACATGCAGACAAGAACCACTAACAGCCTGCCAGAAGGCCTCTCCAAAGGGAAGGAAGAAAAGCAGCAAAGCATGACAGGAGCCAGACTGAGGAGCCAAAAGTATTCCCTGTTATTCAGTTTTCACAGACATGCCAGACTAAAGCAAGCCAGGAGCACACGTTCCCCATGCACAACTGGGAGAGGGAAGTGAACTGCAGGAGAAATTATACTAGTAGCTCAGCTACAGGGCAAGGAGTGAACTGAGGCAGAATCACTCACTTTAGTTGCTCCGTGGGATGAAACCCAGCTTGGCAGGCATGTCACGTTCTCCTGTGAGAAAAAGCTGTAAGGTGGGCAAGGCAAGGGAAAGGCCTTGTGGAACCTGGGCACCAGGAGCAGCCTCTGGCCCAAGCCAGAAGGGATGTGCTGGATGTTCACATTGTTTCTACTTATACTGTAATTCTATTAATCCTCTGTATTTTCTTTCTTTAATCACTGACCTTCTGATGTAAAACACATTGGGGCAAAAAACAAAAATGTCTTCACTGACTCATGCAGAGATGGAGGAGTATTGCCTCATTCCAGAGGCAAAAATGTCTTCACTGACTCATGCAGAGATGGGGGAGTATTGCTGACTCATTCCAGAGGAACAAACCCACTAGAAATATGGTGCTCTAGGATGTCTTCAGGGCCTGAGAGAAAAGTGTGAAGGACAAGACTCTTGCAGCTTCCTGCAGCCTCTTGTCTTTAGGCCTCAAACTGTGCCTGCCACTCTGGTTGTGCTGAGGAAAACAAGGGGCACTCCAGGGAGAGCTACCCACCATTCCTGACATACTGCCAGGGGAAGCATTATGTCCTGCTTGGACAACACCACAGCATGGGGCTTGCGTACACAACAGAATCCAGCTGCAAGGAAAAACCAAGAGGAGAGCTTCCAAGATGAAATCCCTTTTCTCTGTTATGAGATAGTTTTAAATAAAGCACCATTTCTAAGGCAAAGCTCAAAGAAACAGAATGGGTGTGCTAGAAAATGAGAGTAATTGCACAGAACGTTCTCTGTTTTACAAGCATAAATGCTGTAATTAGGGTTTCCCACATCCTGGTTTCTCTTTTTGACAGATCCCACACTGGCAACACCACACTGTTCTAGCACTGCTGCTTTTTCTTCTCCTTTTTACCCAACCACTTGCTACAGAATTGATTATGACATTTCCAAAATTCAGCTCAAGGGCTCTCTTGGGGGAACCAAGTGGCAAAAACAGGACACTGTCACTGTATGTTATTCCTTAGCAGAAAACAGAGAAAAAAAGTGACAAAAGACATTCATATTTCAGCCTAGAATTTTGTTTTGCCATTTGAATTTAGCTCAGATGATGATACAAGACTAGAAGCCATGGAATTTGCATGCTCTGTTTTGTCACAGAGGTGCACTTAGAAAGGGCTGTCCTGCTCACATATGCCTGGGTCTTTCTAGCCTTCCCTCCTGCTGTATCTACAGCTGAAAGAAGATTGGCAAGGAGCAGGAAGAAGCAGATATACTGGTGAATGCACAAGCAAAGAGGACATGCTGGATGGTTTGAAAACAACCACCAGGCCTTTCTTCACAAGAATAAGGGAATGTATTTGTTCAGCAACATCTTACAAACACAAAGACTCTGGTGGTGTAGATATTTGGTCTGGGACCAAAAGAAAAACACCTCAAAAAGCAAAAGCACCACAGCCTCCATTTTGGGCCATCAAACTCTGCCTGTGCAATCCTGGCAGGGGCAACTCCCTTACCGTTGCAGTATTTCAGTGAGGAGCAGGAGCCCTTGTTTGTGCAACTCCACATTGTTCAGCTGCAGGACAACTCGGAGACTCCTCAGCAGAGATTCAATGCCTGCACATGTTCAAGAGAAGTCACAGAGAAGGCTTTTAACACCCCAAATTCCAGGACAGAAGCAAAATTAATTTTAAAAAGGAAAGAAGACTTGAACAATTATTCTTCTGAGCCACTGACATAAACAACTGCCCAAAAACTGCTGAGTGTTCACTCAAATTCTGATAATAGGCCCAAACCTCCAGTGCTGGAGGTAAGTCCAGAAGAATGGAAGGAATTTAGCCTTTCTTCCTAAACCCACTCTTGGTATGTCCACAGAAACACCCAACAGTAGTTTAGGTAGTGTCAGTCATGATAACTGGTTACTATAACAAATGCATGCTCCTCAGGAACTCATTAGGACAGTGACGCTGTAAATTCAAGCTATGTTAGACATCACAAACATGTCTCATGTGTACTCATTTTCAGTCCTTTATCCATCCTGACTGGAAATTGTGATTGTGTGTAAAGTGTTGAAATTCAGCTAGGGGCAGAGCAAATGCCCACAGTATCACTGCAGTCCCTCTGTCAGGAAGGCTGATGACTCACCATAGACTGTGTGACACTTGGAGAAGAAAAGGCGCTCTTCCGTCAGGAGGAGCAGGCAGGAATACACTGACCAGATGAGAATTTCACTGTTGCAGGAGAGACACTCAAACAGGAATTCTGCAAACACACAGATACGCACAAATAAGGTCACCCTGGTAAGAGGCAGTCTGCTCACAGCATGGCACAGCTGCTCCCAGAACAGAGTGGAGGGAGGAGGAGGAAACAAGGAAGCACAGCAACAGCTACAGGGAGAATGGCTGTGTTATGAAATGGCAGGAATGGAGAACGAAGTGGATGCTTGAGGGATGCTAGTCTTCCAAACAAGGTGACTGGAGAGCAAAGTCCTGCAGGCAGGCATCTTCCCAGCACAAAGTAAACAGGCAGGAGCTGAATTGTGGCTCTAGCCTTCAGCACAAATGAAAAGCCACAAAGAAGCTTTACCACCAATATGATGATCTGGTTTTTTTTCCTCAGAACTTTTACATCTCCCAAATAATTTGTAAACTGAAAGCATCTGGCTTTTGGGATTACAGAGGAATAATAAACCATCTCCCACAGCCACATTCTAAAGCTAAATGCTAGACCAAATTCTGTGCAAACTTTAAATACTTAGTGGGATAAGATGGAACCCCAGCCTGTTTAGGCTTGTATCTAAGGTTCTGCAAGAAGGACCTTGACCTCAAGGAGTTGTCCAAATTCTTGCTGTGGAATCTCTATTCTGCCTGTTGACAGCTGCTTCTTTGCTTTCAGTTGAAAACTTACTCTCCCCTTCTGTTCCTGAAATCTCAGTAGCCATTTTTACTGGTATAAAATGGTCACTGCACATATTATGCCATCAGTGGATTTCATGGAGCCAGTCTGATTCCTAAAACAAACAGCCAGGGAATGCTTTGATATTCGGGGATTCGCAGTAAGATGCTATTGCATTTCTTCACCTGGGACATCTGCATGGATAAAGGCAGGAGCATATCTGCTGGGTGAGTGAACCATCACTGCAGCCATACAGTGAGAACTTGCTGCCTGTAACACCTCATCTCTGGTCAACAAAAACTGTTGGGAAACAAAAGTCAAAATGAGAGAGTCAACTATACAGATAGGAGTAGGAAAGAGTTTCCTCTACGTTTTTAAATTTAGAACATAAATTATGATCCCTCTTTGGGTATATATTTAATGGATTGAACTTGCTAAGGCAAGATAAAACACTGGACCACATACACTCAAAAAATGCAATATGAGAACCACAACAGAAAAGATTATGATTAAGCTCCGCCCCCATGCTTAGTCGTGTTGACACTACAAGTGCTGTATCAGACCTCAAGTGTGACTAAGTGAAATCAGCTGAGGACAGGAATAACATTTCCTCCCTCCCAGTTGCAGGAATGATCAATAAGGTGATCTGTGGGGGTGTCCCCATTTCCCACTACAGCCTCTACCGCTGGGGTTGGCAACAGCCTATTCAGGTGTCTCAGATAAAGACTGAGTACAGGCCAGCAAATTCTTTACAGCTACGAACAATTCATGAGTACTTCAACAATCACCCTTTTGAGAACAAGTGGCAGTGGATTTTCCCCTTCTAAGAAGTCAGGGTTCTCAGACTCCTCCTCTGTGTTTGAATTATTCATAATAATGGATACAAAATGCTCAGATTTCAGCAGCTCCTTTAGCAAACCTGCAAAAGGGGGAGCAAGAATGAGCAGCATATTGGGACAAGGTTTACATTATCAAAGGAGTATTTACACCCTAAGACTTGTTGCCACTTTGTCCCCTTTCCTGTACTCCTGATTCTTACCTCCAGTTTATGGAGCTTCTTCTCACTGTGTACCTAGATACGGCCATAAGCCCCATGTCTTGCAAACCCTTGTTGCTTTCTGCTGGGTCTGATCTGCTCCCTGTTCTTTCTCAGAGGCATAGCATGTGCACTGGTGCATGATCTCAGGAACACTCTGCTCCCATCATCCTCTGTGCTCCAGTATCCATCCCTTAAACTGCTTCTTGGGAGAGCTCTTGAGCTGCATTTTTCTCCAAGCTACAGTCAGTGACCCAACAATAAATAGACATTTTCCCCATAATACATGCTAGAGAACTGGCATTTGTCTTCCCCTTCTACTTTCACAGGCTCTTACAGAAACTAGCTCAACGATACCCAGGTACACAAAAAAGCCCTCAGTATAACAGCATAGAGCACTGCTGCAGGCACTGATGCAAATCATGAGTACACATCACTACAAATTCAGACAGGGTATCATCTGACATATATAATTCTACTTTCAAGGGAATCATCATCCATTTCTAGTAGCTGCGTAGATAGTATGAAAAGCAATCCAGTCCCTGTTTGCCTCCTACAAGAAAAAGAAATTTCCTGGATGGCTTACAAACAAGCAATGTCAGAAAGGCTGAAACTGTGCTCCCCAGCAACAGCTGATACGTGCAGTTGGAAGCATACATCCAAGAAAGTCACTTCCATGTTAGCTCTCTAACCCAAATGACATGATGCCCCACATCTGGACACCAGATTTGTTAGACTCCATCGCACTGCTCTACAAAACCCACCTTTCCATGCACAGTGTTTGCATTTGGACACTTGGAGGGATGGTCTGTTTCTAGGATGAAACACCAAATTGAGACACAGTGGAACCAATGAAGAGACTCTGAACACTAGCCAGTGCTAAGCAAATGTGGGGCTCGAGGGAGAACAGAGGGCTGGGGGCGCTCAGCAGCAGGTTGGGGCTGTTTGATTGCTATGGAACCACAGAAAGGACTGACTGCTTCAAACCGGCAGCAGAAAGTTCCTCAAGGGAACAACCCACATTAGAGCATTGAAACCACGCAAGGATTTCTTCCTCATTCTCAGCCTTCCCTTGCACCTTGCAGTGTCTCTCAGCAATGTCTCACCTAGACAATTAACCTGCAGCTCCTTTGTCTGTGCACGCCCCAAGGTACTCAAGAAGAGACCACAGAGCCTTTCTTCAAAATGTGCCGAGAGCCGTTCTGTGCCGACAGGAGAGGAGTACAGCTTGCCATACAAGTAGCAGACAGCAGCCCTAATACCTTCATTTGGGTATGTCAAGCCTATCAGCAGATGATCCACTAAATTACCTAGTGTGAGGAACAGAAACATTCACACCAATTATTAAGTGACTTTTTAAAAGTACCAACTTATTTCCCTTGAAAACTTGCCAAAGTCCGCTGGAGAGACTGGTTATGTACAGTAATGAATGCCACAACTAGGTGATGTGCTCACCACCACTTGTCCCTCTGAGTGAAGGGGCACTAGTAAACAGCTAGAGGAACTCACTGTTCACGATATCCACCATCCCAGCTACTTCCAAAAAACAGCTAAGCTTGCTCACTGTAGGTACAGGACCCAGGAAAGAAAAAAATAAGTGCCTTTGAGGCAGACCCACAAACCCCATTTCACAGAGGCTGTTCTTGCCAGGCTGGCTAAGAGCATAATGAGTAGCAACCCAGGAGGCCTGAGCTCCACTCCAGCTTACGGACAGGCTACTTGTGTGACCTTCATGAATTCACACAAGGGACAGGGGAGTGCATGCATGTGTACACATATTAGGGCTGTGAATCTCACCCTTTAGTGGGGCATAATGCTTTACTCACTGTGCTCTACCACCAGTACATCAGCAAAGCCTGGGATGGCATCTGCCAGCTTGCCCAAGAGAGTGAACGTGGGCAGGCTGCTTCTCAGGGTAGTTGCTTTGCACAGCTGTAGAGGAGACAGAGAAAGAAAATGTTTCACTGGTGAGGACACAGTCTAAAGGCAGAAATGCACCCAAACCAGCAAGGTCTCTGTAATCCCTAACCCTCCAGAACAGAATATTTTCCTAAGCTGGGTCCTCTTCACCACGTAGGACAAACTGCAGGAAAATCCTGAACACATATCTTTTAATTAATCCAAGAAATCTCTTGCTTCTTGCTCCTTTTCTTTTCTCTCCCCTCCAGCTCTACATGAGCAGATGAACCAACTGAACTTCTCCCCGCTTTCGCTACTTCCCAAGATTTTGTACCCCACAGGACCATCACAAACTTAGGAATGAAGAGAGCAAGAGCCCATGGCACAGGTTGGAAAGCTCCTCTTATCACTGAAATGATAAGGTAGGAAAAGAAGAATCTGAGGAAGCCACATAGCTTCACAAGAGAATCATGAAGCCATTTGTCTGCAAGGCAACATGAGAATAACAGGAAAACTCCAGGGTAGACACTGACACTGCCAAAATCAGAGCAGGGGAGCACTTGGACATCCCACTGCTGCAAAGGCTACAGCCCAGCACAGTAACTACAGTCTTGCAGGGCCATTCACTCCCATTTCCTCGACCTCTGAAGGACTGAAGGGAAGGGCAGGGAATTCATCTTCACTGACCTCTTTTTGGCTTTCATCCAAAATGCAGCGTAAGTACTGCTCTGACTTCAGCTCCACCACAAGCCACACCAGAACTAGGGAGAAGAAACAGGATCGGTAATTCACACTAAAAAGAGCACTCACAATCCATCTTCCACGGGGCTTTAGCAGAACAGCGAGCAAAAAGCTTAGAAATTAAATGAGCACAGAGGTGCTGAGAGAGCAGGGTAACATCGACATTCCCAGCACTATTACTTCTGATAGCCTAGCCTGAGCTCTCTGCAGCAGCACTACAGCAGTCCTGTTTCAGCTGCACTGCAAAACCACGCATGGAAATGAACTGCAAACAACAAACTGAGCATTAGGACACCAAGTAAACATATGGAACCAGGAAGGGAATGAAACAAAGCCCTAGCTTAAAAGCATTACAATTTCTGGTAATTGAATAGAGCAGGCTTCTTACAGTATAAAGATTGGCCTTTAAAAGCCTATCTTTCCAGAGAACATACCAGAACTGAAGCTGCTGAGTATCCCTAGATGCAGACTGAGAGCTTCTCCTCCAGCTGCTTCTGTCCCAGAGGTAACAGAATATGGGTCTTATGGGTCATTACTTCCCACTGCAGTTATCCCCTATACCTTGCCAGAAAGCAAGGCCCCAGTCACCTTTGTGGTGCTTTTCACCTCCTCAGCCCCAAGTAAGAGACTTGGTTCACTGCAACTTTTAGAACTCTGTCCACTCTGTCCTAAGAAGAGGAATCAAAAACCAATTACATTTACCAGGCACTGGTAACTGCACATCACCTGAGGTTTCCCTAACAAAGTCACAAGGGAGTTGCCTGATGCTGGCAGGCTGCCTCTGCCTCCACTGATACCAGTGGACTGGCTTCAAGAAGCAAAGTTACTGGATTTTTAGTACCTGGGCAACTGGATGTTCAGCAGATAGTTTTGATGATAGCCCCCTTACCGAGACGCTGTGCAGAACATTGGTCCCTAGGATTTAATAAGGCTGTCCTGGATGTATCTTGCTGTCAGAGCATGACTCATTTGAGAAACACACTCTTTGGAATTGTATTATAGGAAAGCATCATAAAAAAATACCAAATATTTCTATGTTCACCATCTCTTGGTATACCCAGGGCAACACTGGAGGTTTATCTAGGAGACCTACTTCAGCCATAGAGCTATGGATCTCAGCAGAGGTGTATCTTGACACAGGTGATTTCTAGATGGTTTAATGGTTCTTTCTTGCCCTGAACTCTCAGAATCTCTAAAAACTGTAAAAGAGTTAAGTAACACTAAGTTAAAATTCCTTTGTTTGAGAGCATCCATCTCTCAACAGACTGGTAACATGGCTTCTCAATGTTTTCAACACCATCTCAAGCAAGTGCCTAAAAATTGAAACCCCTCTGGAAGGAGCTGGTCACACTTCCTTTTGCCTTTCATGATTGTACAGGAGGAAATAATTGCATTGCTAATATCACTGGGCTCAGCAGAGATGCCCAACATTAACAGGACTGCAGAGATTCCTTTGTCACCTCCGCAGGCATTTCCTTCATCTTGCAAATGAAGGACTGCTCATAAAGAGGACTGCAGCTTGTACAGTTAAATCCCAAATACCCTCTGTCCTAAGGAGAAAGCAGTAGATCCCAAAGCTCACTGAAGCCCACAGGAGGTTTTCCATTTGCTTTGAGACTTCAGACAGACTGAAAGATGCCAAAGATGAGGCATTGTTTACCACTGTTACCTATCTGATACTAACTTCAGGGCACATACAGAACCTGTCAGAGAAATGCTAAATATTTAAATCTGCATACGCTCCCCTAGCTTCAAATATTGGTGCAGTCTGCTCATCACTGTTGCAGTGGCAGAAAATAGATGCTCTTCCCAATTCAAATGGTGTAGATGCTGAGCATCTCACTCTAGTTATCAGACAAGACAGAGCCTCCCTTCACAAATTGTCACCAATTGAGAGGTGGCATCTGCCTCTCACAGAATGACAGGGGGTTGGAAGGGACCTCTGAAGATCATCAAATCCAACCCTCCTGCCAGAGTAGGACCAAAAAAAAAATAAAAATCTAGGGCAGATCACGCAGAAAAGCATCCAGACAGGTCTTGAAAGTCTCCAGAGAAGGAGACTCCTCAATGTCTCTGGGGAGCCTGTTCCAGTGCTCTGTAACCCTCACAGTAAAGTCCTTCCTCCTGTTGAGGTGGAACTTCCTGTGCTTGAGTTTGAATGCATTGCCCCTTGTCCTATCACAGGGCACAAGTGAAAAGAGGTTGTCCCTGCCTTTTTGGTGCCCAGCCCTCAGGTATTTATAGACATTACTTAGATCCCCCCTCAGCCTTCTCCTCTCTAGATTGAAAAGCCCCAGGTCTCTCAGCCTTTCCTTGTAAGGCAGGTGTTCCAGTCCCTAAATCATCCTCATAGCCCTCTGTTGGACTCTCTCAAATAGATCCCTGATCTCTCACCTTCTACAATGAGGTCCAGGGCACTGCTGTCTTCCACACTATGTAACATCCCTAAAAGAAAAACCACAGTCAGTCATGGAACTCATTCCTGCATGTGATCACCAGTGCTGTAATGCCTTATTGTAAAAAGTGCTGCAATTTTTTTTTCAGACCTGTTTTGTTTTGTTTTCCATGCTTCACATAACACCCACTTTAGACGAAGGTGGTTGCTTTCAGGGAGTGTCACAAAAGGCTGCTCCATAAGCAGGACACAAGGACAGGAAGGCATTTGGTTCTCTTGTATATTTTTTTATGTACTTTTGAATTGAAGTCAACAGCTCCACCTATGTAAGTAAATATGTAACTGCTACCATCGCCACCTCTCACTGCATGCATCCAATATTCCACATCTGAAACAACACTCCAGAATGACAGAAGTTACAGCCCAGCTGTAAGCTGTCCTTTCTATCTTCCATTCACACCAATTACCATGAACAGTATTCTCCCTCCACAGCACTGAAAATCTGAACACCGGGTTTAAAGCATATGGAAACTATTCCAGAGTTAAATCAAACCTAAAGGCACCACTTCACAAGTCATTTTTACACCAAGAGTGTAAGACTGAATATATTAAGATAAACCACTGTCTCACTCTACCACACCACAACAGATGAGATACTCGACCTCCCAGCTCCTTCCAGCTTCAGGTACCTACAGCATCAGGAGTCTGGTTCAGACTCCTGCACTTCCACCACACCAAAACCCTTCTTGAAACCTAACCAACCAAAATAATCTCCCCCTCAGAGATTCCATGATCTCTCAAAAATTTGACCAAGAAAAGCAATGTTATGACATCACATGTGAATAAATTACTTGTTTCCTGCCTCATGTCCCAAATCCTCAGTTACTCTGTTACACGTTGGAAAAGATTTGCCTAAGGCATTAGTGAACTTTACAATATTAGCTGTATGAAATTCAGGCTTACCTGAAATACACCTTCTCCTCATACATAACACTCCACACTAAACTTATGTTCTCTTAACCTTCTCCTGTGTTTTTCCCAAAATTTTCTCTCTAAAAATGAATGTATTTTCCTGAATTTACTATTAATACTTCTTCCACAGCCTTGTTCAAACCTTTGGGGGTCCCTCTTAAACTCTTGCACCGCATGAACATTGGTTTGTTCAAATGCTACCCAAAATGTACCATGTTCTTGCCTGTAGCCCCAGGCTTCGATTGGGATTCCAACTGCTCTACACCAAGTACAGTAAAATATCAAAGCTGTCCCCAAACCAAACTTCAAGCTTCTTGAAGAGAGACAGAATTATTATTTTAAAGCAGACAAGAGCATTGCAATGGAAGCACAGCTCCCCTGTCTCCTGGGGTATTTTGTGTTAGGGTCATACAGCATAGGACTGAGTTGGCCACAAGCACCACTCCCTCCACATCTGTACAGAATTACATGCACAGGACAGGGCTCAATAAAAACTTGTGCAAAGGAGAGACCTAAACCTGCACAAAGCTGTGTTTCCAATAAAGCTGATTCCAAAACATGCACAACGCAGCTTGTGCTGGGAAATCAACTGGGAAAACACTGAATTATTCAGTGCATCAAGGCAGGGGAAGGGGTTTGTAAATCCCTTTCCCTCAAAATACAAGAATTATCTGTGATGTGCAAATGAGACAATGGAATTAAAGGAATCCAGTAAATTTGCTCTTCGAAGGCACCTGCATCCATACCCTCCACCTTTCTCTTCCTGCCTTACTGTTCCCTCATTTATACCACTATTTCTTCTCCATCAAGGTTTTAGATGTTTCAAAGACCTTTCCCACATAAACTGCTATGCAAGGAGAAAACAGTAAGAGATGCTCAAGATCATGGAGACAGTTACTGGAAAGGCTCTACTGACATCCCACTAGATTCTATCCTGCTGTGAGGCTGACCCACCAGAAAGAAGCTGGCATTATAGTCCTACGGCTGCAAGGATTTCTACAAATATAAAGAGATGGTTTGAAAACAAACCACTATGTAGATTTGTATTCTGTACATTTGATACTAAATCCTCCAACACCTTTCTAAGTTTATACTTTCATTTCTGTATGCATCTTCATATACTGCCACAGTTCAGCACGATGAGGAAGCACTAAGGCATAAGACCAGAGTCACAGGCACTCCCTGTCTACCAGAAAGACTTTACAGATACATCAAGATACTCCAGAAAATTTTAAGAGGTTTATGAACATGCCAATCCTACTTCTTAGGAAATAAGGCAATGAACCTGTTCTAAATCAAATGACAGGCAGTTTTCCAGTGAGTAGTAATGCACCTAACACAGACTGGTGGAATTCTGGAATTATGTACTTCAGTATTCTTGTGATTTTTTCCTTTTTTCTTTCAAATGAGGAGAAGCTTCACATGTATACATCTACACATGAAGAAGATGATCAGAGGGTTGGAGCACCTCTCATATGAAGACAGGCTGATAGAGCTGGGGTTGTTCAGCCTGGAGAAGGCAGCTTACAGCAGCCTTCCAGTACCTGAAGGGGGAAACAGGAAAGCTGAAGAGGGACTTTTTATAAGAGCATGTAGTGACAAGGAGTAACAGCTTTAAACTGGAAAAGGGAAGGTTTGGAATAGATATTAGGAATCATTTCTTCACTGTGAGGGTGGTGAAACACTTGACCAGGTTGCTCAGAGAAGCCATGGACGCTGCCTCCCTGGAAGTGCTCAAGGTCAGGATGGATGGGGCTCTGAGCAACCTGGTCCTAGTTGGAGGTGTCTGCCCATGCAGAGGGGCTGGAACCAGCCGGCCTTTCAGGGCCCTTCCAACCCAAACCTTTCCGTGACTCTGTGACTGAAGGCCCCTGCCCGCCCTGCCGCCGCAGCAGGCGGGGCAAAGTTCTTACCCAGGAGAGCTCCTACCAGACGAAGACAGT